TTAAAAGATTATACACCAAAATGAAACAAATTCACTAGTATTACAAACCAACTAAAAAAAAATGAACAGCATCTGAGATCAATATTCGATCACACAACAATTATTAACTACTAATGATGTATTTTCAATTACGTAACAATATACAACACCCGAAAATTAGTACTAATATAAAACGACAGGTGGCACCGGAAGACTATACGTAACAGGTGCAGCTAGATTCTATTTGTACAATAGCTGAAAATACCAATATATATAAAAGTATTCCCTTCTAATAATAGGAAAAATAAAGACCCTCGTTTTGAAATATTCATTTTTTTTATCAATTAAAGATTACACAGTGTGCACACATAGGCAAATGAATATATACACAGACATTTATTTATTCAATCTTGCATTGCACATAGATAGAATGTGGAGGTCGAAAACGCGGGAATTCTACAACAAGCGAAATAGGTCAAACGTTATTGATTACACTATGATCATGTTTATATTTGTACTTAAAAACCACACATTGAAACGTCCGGAAGCGTTATCGGAGAGAAATACTGGAAGTATAGTTTAAAGTCCATTGTAACATTATGATATAAATTATTTGTTTTGTTTTTTTGCCTTTCCTTTCTAGAACAAGCGATTTTATTTTACAAGAATAAATGAGCACTTAATTAAAGAATTGTTAGCTTCTTGGATTACACAAAAGGTATAAACACAGAAAAAATAACAACAAAAAACACGCTCTCTCTCTTGGGGATCATAAACCCAAAACAGTCATATATAAACGTTCATTACCTCTACCTAGGATGTAAACAAGCTTTATGTTATAGATAAGTAGTCAGGCGGTAAAAAGCTCATAGAATTCACACAACTAACGACACACATCTTCATAGCCACACTATTAATAATTCACATTTTATGGTTACTATAAATAAAATATTTGGGGTCTGGTATGGTCTAGTGATAGGGCGCTCGACTCGTACGCTGCGAGTCGCTGGTTCAAACATACTCGCCCTTTCAGCCTTGGTGGCGTTATGTTACGGTCAATTCTACTATTTGATTAGAATAACACACAAGTTGACTGTGTTAAGTAGCTGCCTTCCCTCCAGTCTATCAATTCTAAATTGGGGATGGCTAGAGAAGATAGCCTTTGATCAAAATTTAAAACAAACATAAAATATTCGGAGGATGAGCTAGTTTGACTAGGCTATCACTTTAGGGTTAAGTCAAGATCATTTTAATAAAATTCCTGTGAGCTAGGTAAGGTTGATATATTTTACATTAAGATTGGTTAAATTGAATTAGATTGTTTATACTGAATTAGGGTAAGATGAGTTAGGCTAGATTATAGTAAGTAAAAGTTATATAAGGTTAAATTATACGGGGGGGAGTTGCATTCAATAAAGATATTTTGAGTATAGTTCTTCAAAAGATGTTCAGAATGAGCTTATATTGTTATTCCTTTAAAAGATAAGTTAAATGTAAACGACACTTGTTTTTAATGTGAGGTTAACTTATTCTTCTAAAATACAACGCCACAACAAACACCCTCTGTAGCATCATCACATAGACTAGATTAAATATGACAATATCATTATGAAAAATGTACTTCATTCAGACGCTTTTATATAGCTTAACTCAGTTAATTGGCTAAAGTATTTCAGTGAAACGTTAAAGAGTTGAACAGACAAGTCAAGAAAAAACAATAGGCCTAACTAATATGTTATGTGGAATGGTTTTAAGGGTGTATTTGTGTTTACGATAATTAACATGACAGATATGTATATACGTATAACATCACACACACATAAATACTTTGTAAAAAAAGGATTACATCAAATATATACAACAAATTATAAAGGACAACATTAAATGTATATCCATATGCAGTTTCTGAACAATTGTATAGATACATAATTCATTACGGAGGATTAAAAATTGAGATTTACACGCTATGTTCTAGGTATTTTTATCTATGTGATATCTTTTAATTTTTATCTTCGTTCTATAACAGTAATTACTGGTCCACTGAAGTTCAATAACATCAGAATACGGATAAACAGAGTTACAAATTTATACGCTCAAGTAGACCATTTTTTGTGTTGAAAAAGAAGTAACCAGATAATAATTCAAATTATAGTTAAACAAAATGCTAATAATACTAGATGTAATAATGCATTTTTAGTCTCAAAGTGGGTTCCTCGCCATCGAATTTAAATACGAGATATACTTCACCAGGGTCCCCGAAAGTGTTCTGCTTCAAGAGTAAATAAAACTAATAAAGTTAAAAGTAACAAATTCATTTATTTCTTGCTTTTGATATCCATATGTCATGCTTTGTTGTAGCCTACAGAATGCATAATTCTTCTCTTGATTCATGGCATGCGCACGTTACAAATTGCAACGTTAAGTGTCCCTTATGTGACGTCATTTTAGCGTCTACTGACTGATAGACAACACACTACTATAAATTCATACGTGTGGTAAGGTATAAAAAATAAAATGCTTTAAATAGTTCCCAATGAAGATCGCTTGGCCAAAACACTTGTTTATTTGTCAGTTTGTTGTTAAGCACAAAGTTATCTAATTTTATTCACACATTACATTAGATATTAAAAGGCTATCGAGTTTCGTTCAAACATGCTGTTTTACTGGATCATTTTCTCTTTCAGCTGTCAATTTTACTTTGTGAAATTTTTGTTTCGTAAACTTAAGGGCATACTTGCTAGGTACCGAGTACATCAAATAAGTTAGCGTAACTTGTCAGATTTTACTGCTTTGATGATGTAAAGATAATTTAATATTTAAGTATTGTTTCATTTTCTGTAGTTGTCTTGTTTTATCAGTGCTGCCAGCTATTACAAGACTTCATTTTAACTAAAATTTTGAAAAGAAAAAAAACATTTACTAATTTACACATTTTTAAAAATCTAATAATGTTGCTGTTTTAACCAGTTAGATAAAAACATTAGCACAGGGTTCATGCAACAATATATTTGTTGACCAAAAAACAAAACAGGCCAATATATTTAAAGGTAATTCTGTCTGTAAAATTTCTACGTGAGTCTGTTTTATTTTACAGAAACTACCGCCCTCTAAGGTCACGTGGTAAATACTTGACCTTGAGACAAAACCTAACAAGCTAGAAATAAGACAGCACATGCAGAGATGTGTTTGACCTAATGAATTACAAACAGGTTTTTCAACCCTCTTTAAATGAAATTTCCACACACACACACAAGATTGTAACGTTACAATGTTGCACGGATTTAAAAGAGAGTAAAACTAAAAGGAAAAGGCATATTCAAATATATTCCAACAAATATTTCAGCTCTCCTAAAAGCTAACGGATACGAACAAAGTGATCTTTGAACTACAAGCGCATTGTGAACCAGCTTGAAATAAAACTTTTTTAAAGTTAAGCAATATGCTATTGCCAGTAGTATTGATACCACTGCAAGATGAAATATATTAACACGGGTATTTTTTCCCAAATTACTCCACTTCCAGAAGAATATTATAAGGTAATAATATATATATATTATTAATACCACCCTTACTTCTCAATATTTCTTAATCTTAGATTTCATTCTAAACGGCAAACTCCAGATATCTGTTTAAATATACATAACTACCACTTCTTTAATAACCTTCGCACTATGTATATATCACAATTGAAAACAGCCTTATTACTCAGCTAACTGATTAGGGTTTTTTAACACTTTTGAGAAGAATAACCGATTAAACAAACAAAAAAAAGTCCAGTTTTTTACTACAACCAATATAATCGCATATTGGGTGTAAACTGTGTTAAATAAATCACACAGGACACAGTTTTTGGTATATAAAAAGTTATTCATTTCTACGTAACAAGGTATGATACAGTTGAAAATTTGTCGTACAAAAAACAGCCATTTATATTTTGTTCAAGATATTAAACATACATTACTGGTTCACACTCACACATACAGTCTCCCATCACCACTATGGTTTATAAATAACTAAGCGACTGACTACGTCTAATACAGGCTATCAAATCTTACGAAGTTAAGCAGGGCGGGGACAAGAAATTTAAACTAAAACAGCCTAAGGTAAGGCCTAAGCTAGCACTAAAGATTTTTAATATAAACATTTACAGGCCTATAGTTAACGTGAAATAAATATCAGTCCCCGCAAGGCTTAAAACGTCTAAGATATGGGCTTGTGGCAAAGTTATACTATAATATAGCCATTTGAAGCTTCAACACAAGACAAATACAATTCCAACATACTTTAAAATAATTAATACATTTTGAAACAACATCTCTTCGCTCAGGCTAACTTTCACACAAGACTACTGAGGTATTAACGACTATAATGGAGGCACTCGGAATTTCCCACGTACTCTTATTTTACTTGGAAGTGTCTGTGCAATGTTTAATAAAAGTACAAAATGTAATGGCCCCTTTATATGTGCTAGACGCTTTTATATATAGCGTCGACTTTCGTTTTAGTATAAATGTACAAAACATTATTCAGTCAGATTCAGTAATCAAAAATGACAAAATGCCTCACCTCATAAAATTAAACAACATATACTTGGGCTCTATGTACAGTATTATTAACTAGTAATACTATTATACACAACGGTGACTATTTGTAACGTTTGCCTTCTTGGCGAAACAAATACTTTTGAACGATTTATCTACAAAGTAAAAATAAAAAATAAAAGCACTGTAAAAAACTGAGTTATTAAACACAGACTTAGCTCTATAACTAATTTCAAATATTGTTGAATTTTAGGCTACATAAGAAATATTCAAACAATGTCTCTACACATAATAAAACTTGCAACCAGAAAATAACAAACATAACTTAAGCTATGTAAACAACGTTCCCAAAGTGCCTCCAAAATTAAACAAAAAACGTTTTAATACTCTTACTTACAATTACAGTAGTTTGTGAAAATATAATTTTGTTTTTCATTCATGTGCATAGTTTGGTGATAGATAGTACAATTGTGTTCGATGTTCACGAAGAATTAATTAATCTTTTCACACAGACAACTACGGAACAACAGAACTTTACGGTCACTGTTTGAGTGTTTCTTGCTGAAGGGTTGACTGCCTAACAGTTAAATAAAGGTGGCAAAACTAGTATCAAGCCAGTCTTCTCCCAAAATATCGGTCACTTCTGAATTCTGGTAGTCCGGAAATTCAAAGTGCGAGCCAGAACTAGTACTACCAGTTTCCAAAGCATCAAAGTCCGTCAAAGGTGAAATGTTCAAACTGCCCAGTTCTTGAGCCCACGTAGAGGGTACTAACAGCACTTCGGTCAATGTGTCTAGATCAACTAGGCTGTTGTCAGGTGAGCCATTAGATGTTTCCACAGCTTCAACTGGTTCAGTCTTAACAGATATCGCTGCTTTATTTGCTGTAATCAAGTTTGCTTTGGTATTTTTGGCATACATGTTATCTTCATACAGGCTAACGTTGGTGCTTTCCGGGGAAGAAGGTTGATCCTCTGACGGCGAACACGGTACTTTGGCCGGAGGTGTGAACTGATTCACAGACAAAGGAACCTGTTTACTCTGCCGAATACTTTCTTTAAATTTCTTATCGATGGTGAGCTTCAGTTTGAGCCTGTTATGATTTATTCCACTAGTAGAGACAGTTGTTTGGTTTACAGTGGGACTTGATAGATGAAATCTTGGCTGTTTAGGCTTACTACCACCCTTATCTCCGTTAGACTTGTGTTTCACAGGACTCTTCTTTTCAGACTTCGAAGTTGGCTTCACTTTTTTTCTTGGTCTGTATTTGTAATCAGGATATTCTTGCATGTGAAGTAAGCGCAATCGTTCAGCTTCCTCAATGAAAGGTTGACGCTCTTCATCAGTAAGTAGCTTCCACCTTTTCCCTAACCGCTTACTAATTTCTGCGTTGTGCATATCAGGTTGTTGCTCACAAATCTTACGGCGTTCAATCTGACTCCATACCATGAAAGCGTTCATAGGACGTTTAATATGATTAGCTGCTTTTTTACACCGTGTAGCATCCGTATACGGAGTGCGAGAGTTCGAAAGAACCTTCATAGAACCAAACATAATCTCCCCTCTTTCTGTATCTTGACCTAAGTCATCGTTGCTCGACGGTGATGTAGCCATCATTGTCGAGAGTCCGTTGTGTGGTAACATGAACGTTGTACGCCTAAGTTTTTAGTGCAACACACCTTATTTCCCTTGTACAGACTAGGAAGACATGTCAAGTCACAGTACAACAAAATCTTCAAAAATTCAGTAAAACTATCGTAACCTGCGCTAAGAAAACGTTAACATCCACGCTTCTGACGACCGCACAGCAGTTAAGTTATCCAAACTCCCAACTAGACCTTTCTCTTTCGAATACACCAAACGTCTAACTCGTCTTGCTGTCAGATTGTGGTATTTGAAAGTACGTAATGCTGATATCACATTCTCGTTATCCAATGAGCTTCAAGGTTAGCGCCCCCATATATCTCAAGGCCTATCTGCTCTGTGAGCCGGAAATTGGAAGGCGGAGCTAAATAATATTAACATAGAAAGCGAAAGCTTGTAATGTGATTTTCCAGTCGCTATTCACGTGGTTACAGAATGTTGGTAACATGCAGGCTGAGAGGTACCAGGCTTTCCTTTAGCACTGTCTTTTAATCTTTCATCTGATATTCTTTGTTATTGTAATTTTCGTAAGATAATTTTACCTATTAAATGATAAAGATGATGAAAAACGGTATAAATGAATACTACACATTGAATAAAACTGAGAAAGAGGTTATGTAAACTGTAACAGTAAACAATATTTTATCACTTAAAACTCTAAACTGATTAACTGCAAAAAATAGTGTATCCAAAGATCAAAGTATGTACAATAATTAAAGGTGAAGATGCAGATTTTTATAACAAAGACACAATTATTTGTACTAAAATGTGTTTCGTAAGATACATTTTAGACACAGTACATGTTCCGACCAGTTTTCTCGTGATATATAGTACATTAATCACAGACCCAATTCTTTCTAGTGCGAGTGCTGCAATACTGTCCCCATCTGGCGGAGAACCTTGCAAACTATCTTGTTATGTGGTATTTTATTTAAAAATTATTGTATGGCTAGCAATATTTATAATCAATATTATGTTATTTAATTTTTTTAAACTCATTATATTTTATTGTTTTATTGCAGAAAAAATGAAACAATTTCAAATGAGATATTTTTTGTGATATTTAGTTTTATAAACTTATTGTTATTATTGCTCAGAAATTCGTACTATTTTCAAAGCATACTTGCTGTCATCAGTAAGTCGATCATCGTTATAAGAGCGAAAGCAAATAAAACAATTACCAGATCCAGACTAAATTTCGAAGTTTTTTACAAGACGCGATTGTAAAAACTGATTAAACGTTAGTGAAAAGTACAGTCCGTAATTATCTAGTTTGTTAGTCTGTGATGAAAGTTGCCAAAAGTTTGTTTCGTTTAAGATATTCTTTGCAAAGCTACACAAGAGCTATAGTTAATCAGCACCAACCGCTTACCCTTGGGCTACTCTAATCGAATAGTGCGATTATGTACCGACTGCTCCAAAGTGTGGGTCGTGTATTTTGTTGTTGTTAATTTTGGGTAACGAAATGTGAACCCTCTGATTCAGAACGCGGCACACTTACCATTATTAGGCTATGCCTAACTGGCCACATAACGCAAAGATATTTTTCTAGTCATTTTACATAATCTCCCCCCCCCCCCCCTTCCTAAGAATTGATACATGACACACAGAATGTCGGTTAAGGAAACACGGTGTTAGTGCCCGTAACAAACTTAATTCGTGATAACCTGGGAACACCAATAAATTCTAGCGGCTCCCAAGCCCTTCTCCAGGGGCGCGGACAACCGAGCAATAATAGGGTACGCAATGCGCTCTAGCAATGTTCTTAGCACAGTGAGGTCGCATGAGAACGTGCAGGTGACAAGCGCGACTGCCACAAGGAGGCGTGTACACGGCGCGTGTCTGACCACACGTCAGCACAGTGCAAGCAAACTACCCCATGATAGATAATGTTACGGAAAAAATATGCTTTAATGTTTTTCTCAAACCAGTTATCTAAACGAAAATATTTTCATAAGACAGATGAAGACTGAATTAACACCCTTCCTACGAAACTAGAAAAAGGACTGCGCGTGCGTAATAATAAAAATCATCGATAAGTTCTGATGAAGAGTAAGCTGCTCTGTACTTAAAAAGTAACTTATAAATTAATTAAGCTAATATTATAGCCTACAAGCTATAATAAAAAGTGCCAGCCTAAAGCCTAGTATGTATACACTTGCGCAGCCCATTCCCTGAACTTTGTAAGCGTGGTGTTCAAGATTTTATTTTATTTTTTGAATTACTGTAACAGTTGTATATATTTTTTCTTGCTTCAGCCATTCGATGGGGGATTTTGAAAATGCATTTGAAACAAGAACCACTGAATATTTTTGGGGTTATCCATTGGAGAGTTAATGCGGGTGAGTGCAATACTTTGTTTCAATGTTACACTAATGTAGTTTCTGCACTCAAAACCGTGAGTCAAACTATGGAGAGAAACCGAAACGGAGAATTGAAGCCGGACGAATAAAAATAAAATTAAAAACACTTGATATGGGATTAATGGTGTGTGTTTGGACTACGCTTTTGAAGAGGTTTAATGATAAAAACTGCAATCAGTTAATATTGGGTGTCATGATATAAAAGGCTATTTAGTTTAGATATTATTCATTAATCTATTTTAATGAGTGAATATTTTATTACTGTTTAGTTTTTGTTATAATAAGAGTTAAAAGCAGACGATTGTGGGAAGTTGTGTTTATTAGTCATTGATGTTGAGACTATCGAACATCGCGTGCAATAAAAACATTGACGTCAAGAATATAGAGATTTCTAGAAGGCGGATAAGTGATAGACATATAGATAGTGTGAGACGAGCAGAAAAAGCAGACAGACAATAGCAGAAGACAGTAAAGTCGCGGCCAAGAAAAAGTTCGGCGTGAAGTTAACTACCGTAGACGTGATAGGCCTAACTATTAACATAGGCCTAACATTTAATATGTTAGAGTAAGACTAACAGTAGAAAAGGAGATAAGAAGAAGAATTTATTCCGTCAAAGCGTGGTTCTAAAGTAATCAAATCAGCCTAAGTGCACTTTGACAAAAGGAACAGAGGATATTTAGAAGAAAGAAGACCAAACGATTACGGTAACTTGCACCACAATTGTAATACCAGAATACCAGTGCGATAGCTATAGAGAAGATAGTTCGGCTTGTCAACTGAAATTCTAAAACAATTGAATAGGCCTAAGTGGACTTTTCACTAGAAAAAACTACTTATATAGTGTTTATGATATGTCTGTAATCTCTATTGTATGAAAAATTTGTTGTACATACGTTTAACTTGTTCCGAATATATATATATATATATTATTTGGAAAACAAGTGAAGGGCGTGCTGTCCATTTATCGTTTAATTTATCGCTAACAAGTCACAGACATGTATTGTAGAATAATCCTAAGCCCAACAACAACACAGTATATATTAATACTATTAAGAAGTATATATATGTTAAATTGTGACACTGGGCTTGATATGGTATTAAGTTGTATTTGTCATTTGAAAATTATGTGGCATCTTTCCGTAACAGCTACGAATCATTTCAGAAAGATGCTAACTGGTTATACTGAATATGCGATAGATTCAAAAAGAAACCGAAAGGGCAATACCAGTTTGATGAATCAGTAAAAGATAAGGAGTTAAGAGGAAAACATCAATTCAAGGTCGAGACATTCTTAGTGTCTAATGAGATCCTAATTTCTCAGTTAAGAAAAAGACGAGAGGCATATACGTAGATGCTTGACATATTCGGCTGTATCATAAATCCGAAGAAATGTAGCTTTCATGACATTCATCAAGGTTGCTCGAATTTAATAAATATGTACTCAGACGATGTGGAAAATTTTTTACTCTAGCTGAAGAATGCTCGCATTTGTATTGTTTTTTTAATTACGCACAAAGCTACACAAGGGCTATCTGTGCTCTGCCCACCACGGGTATCGAAACCCGGTTTCTAGCGTTGTAAGTCCACAGACATACCGCTGTGCCACTGGGGGGCCGCATTTGTAAAAGCTTCTTCAATCCGAACCGAACTAGAAAACATCGTCTTCTCTATTGTTCTGAAATATTGAAGACAAATGAAACTTCAAGCAGTATTCACAAACCTAGGCATCGTCTTGCGTATGTATCTCAGTTAAGAAGTAAGAAAGTGCTCAGGGAAAGACCTTTTTTTTTTGTACTAAAACGTGTCACTGGAGACAACTGTGATAACCAATACTGTAACGAAGTTTTGTTCATACGTTTGACTTGTTTTGAATATATCATTTCAAAACAAGTGGGTTGTGTATTGTCCGTTTATTGTTGAAATTTATCGCCAATAAGTCACCGACACCTACTGTAAAGAATTCGGCCCTATAACACCTGGCAATGTCTAAATCTGTTGTTCTTTTAACATCATGTATACTCAACATTCTAACAAATAGAAAATAAGACTAAAATTTTATACGAATCATATTCCACTTTTATAATTTCTTCTGCATGAATGTTTTGCTATTTGTTAGAAGAATATTGCTTATATATATATAACTACACACACACAAATATATACATATACTGTAATACTGTATTATAACAGTCTAACTTCTAAATTTAATCTTCTTTAAATTTCTTAGGCTAAACAATGTATATATGATCGAAAATCTCGTTAAGAGCGAGGTACCCACCTGATGAAACAATACATCATTATAGTTTGAACATGATACTTAATTAGATATGCTCAGTACAAGGTGTATATGTTTAGTTTTATTCTGTGTAGGTAACTTGCTTTGATTAGAAATTAGGCTAATAAAAATATCCTGTTCACAAGGCTAGTTGATATTGCTGTATTGAAGATATAACTTGAACTAGAAATTAGACTATCTTCATCTACAACTTTAATTCGTTGTTGCTAAACAGTGTTCATGGGTATATATATATCACACAATACAACATGGTATTCAACAAACTAATGTATTACATCTTCCAATGAATTCGATGTTAATCAAGAAGAACACAAACACGGTCATGTTGTATCGCTTGAAAAAAAATTAACAAAGTGCGCGTACTTAATTACTCTCCATGAGTTACCATGGTATAGAAACATTATATATTGTTAGAGAAAATCAACTTGGGCCAACGTATGATTTAATATATTCATCATGATACATTGGAATAGCAAACAACATTATTAGTATGTAAGTACATAATACCGCGTAAAGTAGAGTTTAGATCCACTATATAGATACAAGTTTCGACACTTTCAAGTGGCCTCTTCAGTACAACATGAACATTTCCAAACTTGTATCCATTTAAACTTATTGTTCCTTGATAGTGGACCTAAACTTCATTTTAGTAA